TGTATATTATGTACATGTGTACACGAGCATTTGTATTCACAGGATAAGTGCATTTGATCATTTCTGAGCTATATCAAGTGGCAAGCTGACCTCATCATCTGACACAATGAGATATGAACACAGTACAATGTAAAGGGATCCAATGGAAAAGGGTGACGCCATATTGGGAGAACTTTCAACTATAGGCCCCGCACATTCTCTCCATAAGCAGTTCCAACCCTAGTCACCAAAAGAAGATGGGGTATCCAGAAAGGCCTAATTTTGACTCAAATGAAAATACTTTTTGGAAAGAAGATCATTTTTACGTAGAAACACTTACTAAATATCAACCAATGCATTTACCTTTTACCTACTCCAAATCTGCCTCTTGAAATCCAGTTATGGCTATCATATCCATGGTTCATACAGACAAGCTCCATTTTGGAAAAACTCGTGTCTTCTTCTCAAGCATCCATGCACAACAGCTATGCACAAAGAAACAGTACGGGAATATGCATTGTGCTAGAAAACCTATGTGGCTCCTCTGAAAGATATTTAGGTTCTCAAATTCATATTTATTTAGATTTGAAACCACAAGGGATTTCAGTGCAAGGTATTTATTTATGTGACAACCGAATATTAAAGCTGCACTTTTTAGGTTTAAGGGAGATAAATTTTTAATCACCATTTAATTAACACCAACTTTGTTTCTTTTTCATTAGCAATTCTATTTGCAAAGAATTTGGAGCATTTGTCATTTCCTGAGAAGGATGCAGGATATTAAATACACATCAGCAGTAGACATATCAAATACATAAACAATGCAGATGACTATGGTGAGTCTTTTGACTAATTAGCCACCTTGGCAAAAGTCCCATTTAAATGAAATGATTTCATTTGTAAACAAGGTGTAATTTTCTTTTTTTTTTTCCTCCCCAGAAAATAAGTGTGAATTGATTTGACATATTTTGCTGCCATGGGTGAATTTTAATGCTTTCATCGGAAAAAGTAGGTATTAAGTCTTTTCAGTTACTATGTGAGACAGAAAGGGGAAAAATCAAGTGTAAACCATGAGATAGTCATGGCGCTGACTGGAATAATGCAAAGATATTTGCAGAGGACAGAGCAGTCAAAATTTGTGACATTACAATTCCTCAAGTCTCATGGAGTTCTCACCGGCAGAGAGATAAATCCACTGGGGACTTGCCTGCTTGGAGCACTGAAACCAGAAATAGCCGAAGAACCTACAGGTATAAAGATGATGGAAACTGTTTTCCAGAATACTGAGGTTCCCCAGAGCACAGCTGATTCCCCAGAGGACCCCTTACACACCCAATTTTACATTGGTTACACCTGTGCTATTGTACATGGACAGAAACCTGTTTGCGTCCGGGTGTACTTGTCCAAGGACCAGTTAGGTCCTTCCCAAGTGGGGAAAACCATTTGGGGTTAATGAAATCTCATTATGGATGCATGGCAGCCCTGACTTAAGCCAGGTAAAATTTGGGTATTTGGGTGCAGAGATTCTGGGTTCTTGGCATCAACAAATTGAATAAGTCAGAGCTGGAATATGTCACAGGAACCCTCTGTGTTGATATAGAGTTCAAGGCTTCCTAGGGAATTCTCACCACCTCCTATATTGTAAGTCCAATACTACTATACATTCCTGATATTCTTTTTCCAAAGACCAAAACTGACCTGGAATACCTTTGAATTGCTCTGCAGCTTTCTCTTGGAATTGATGACTGCTATTCTTGTTTGAAATCATCACATTTAAGAGTCAGTGAATTAGTGGAGGAGAGAAAGCATGTGTTGATTACAGCGTCTAGTTCCCAATTATTTATTTTTAAGAAACACCTTAGATATTAAAAGAAATGTTTTTCCCAGTGCATTGTTGTTGGTTCTTCTAAACACCACATTTTCAGGTTGTTTATTCAGATTGTATGGGGTTAATAATTAAAATAATGCTGGTATTAGAAGAAGGTATTGATGTATAGAGTTAATCCAAGTGTAATTTACATTCTCCCTGGAGATTTGGTGGCAGTTGTCAGTCCGCTAGACTTTGAGGAATCCAGAGGAAGACAGACTGACTGCCTCTCTGGGTTGATAACATATCACGGTTCTGGAAAAACTTCTTAATTCATTTCATGTTCAGACTTGCCAGTCTTGTGAGGACACGAAGGTGTCCCTAGCTAAGGGAGTACAGATCTGGAATGCAATGGGAGGGCAATAGCAGAATGTGGTGAAAGTGTATGTATTCAGAGAAACTTAAATTTTAGACCAGAAATTGGGGTGACTGTTTCAGGTCCTTTAATCCCAGCTTCTGCATTGCTGGGACTTGAGGCAGCAAAAGCTACAGCATCCAAGAAATAAAATGTAACTTTAATGCAAATCAGTCACCAGGGTGGCTTCAGTTCCTTCTGCATTTCAAAGGATGGGAAGGATGCTCTCTCTCACAGAACCCCTTGCTGCTCTACCACTGAAACTCAGATCAATCACAACCACTTCTCATCATTACAGAAATATTGTGGGTTGGTTCCACTTTTCTATAGATAGAGCCATTCAATGTATTCTTGGGCTTTTAAGAGAATGATCCTGGCACCTGCCCACTTACAGGAAAATCCTACCTACAAAATGGAACCCACCATGAGTAAAAGAAACTGGATGATTCTGTCCCCTTCTCTTAGAACACAAAGAAAAATTCAGCAAGAAACCAGGAAATGACCAGGCTAGTCCACATGAACTCAGGGTTTCTGTAGCATGTCACCAAACAGACTGAGGTCCTCTGCAAAAACCAATGTCCAGTTGGGCCACCTGTTTCAAAGATATTAATGTATTTAAAATATACTGATAAATACAGTAGAACCATATAAAAGTGTTTAATTTATAGTTTGCTGGTTTTCAGATATTTAGTTTTTAAACTAGAAAATCCTGGTTTGATAAAGTGTTATAACATAACAATTACCCTTTTTGTGGTCACTTTTTGATGTGGCAGGCACTGTGCTAAATTTCCCATGCTTAAATACTCCCCTCTGCCTCCAACTTTCTAAAATAATGCGTGCCATTCAGTCATTTAAGCACAGGTTTGAGTAGAATAAGAATGAGAAGGTGCAGGTGACTCAGAAATGACAAATGCATTGAGATATTTTCACGTCTCTGTTGGTGCTGCTGCTGCAGCCTCCAATGGAGGGAAAATTTCAGGAGAGAGAAATCACTTGTCTCACTAAGTTCATCCACAGTTTGGAAATGTGCTCAGGGTAGATGTATGAGCATCTCAATATTTGAAGGTTTTTGATTTGAGGAGGTTGGGGTGGAAATGAGTGTCCAAGAGAGAGTTTCATGACATTAAGGAAGATAAACCTAAAACCATGCTATAGCCTTGGGCAGACAGATGGCATGGCACTTCTTACAGATCACAGTACACATATGGCTGTTGGCACATGTCACCACATTAACAACTCTTGGAATAGCAACACACAGCTAATTTTACACCACCATGGCTGTTCAGGGACAGAACAAGTTACAGTTAACTCTGGGAGGGGAAGGGGTAACAGATACTATACAACCCTGAGTCATCACCAGTAGGGAGGAAATGCAAACTTACGTACATAGGAGTCTTCAGGATAAACTACAATGGCCATTGTGTCATACACAGGAGATCCACACTTAGATTTTGAAGACATAAATGTGTTAGTCTGTGCAGCTCTGAACAAGACCACGGAAGCCAAGGATGAGAGAAACACACATATCAACATCCAAAGAGTTTCTTGAAGCTCTCTGACTGAGAGTCCCTCTGGCTTTTTGTTCCAGACGTGTCTTGGGAATGACTATAATGAAAGGAGCATAAGTACCGCGAACACATTGACTTGCTATTCTTTGGGGGTGGGGAGCCTGGAGTTCTTGGGATTGGGCCTGGGCTGTGATGGAAGGCATAACAATACAGCTGAGGACTTTTACAAGCCAGACTTCCTAATCTCTTGCACATGTCAATCTCGCTACAATGCAGGTGCATTCTTACCTGTCTTATGTCTGTGTCAAGTTCACATGCATACCATATTGCTTATTCTGTATTAGACAAACCGCTAGGCATTTCTGATGAGGAAATTACATGGTGGGCTGAGTTTCATGGAATTTGGAATATAGGAAATCATAACATCACCATCAGCAATCCAATGCACCATTATTGCCAACATACCTGGTAGGCATGTCCAGAAGACTTGCCCATACGTATTTGTTTTTGGTTAAAAATTCACGTATCTGGTATCTGCCATGCCCAGCACATACCTCACACGATTCCTTGAGTGGAAAATTATGTGCAAAAGAGCCAACAAAAAAATACCTCCCTACGTCTTGTTCCTCTTAGCAGGGCACTATTGGATATCCAACATTTTACCTTCCAAAACATTGGCCATTCCATATGTTTCCCTATAGATAAAACATTAATGGAAGATTCTAAACATCAGATTCGATACTAGGCATTTTCTTGTACACACGTCTATTGCTGCAGGAATTTAAAACTCTGGGGGTAGAGTACAGGTTACTCTTATTTGCAGCATAAGGCATAACATGCTCTGAAATGTACACGTCACTGTGGCCCCGACTGTCTCTGGAACAGTACGACGCCGTTGACCTCAAGGATGAGCGAAGATAGCTGTCGTTCACTGCCTGCGACGGCAATGAGTGTTTGTAAGGGTCCGATGGGCATCTTCCAATCACTAAGCGTTGATCATCCCCGTAGGTGTGGAGGAAAGGGTTATCAGAGGTGTGGTCTGGCAAGAGAGACTTGCTCCTCTTGCTGTCCTCTAACCCTTGGGGGAAAAGGGAACTTTTGTTCCCCAAGAGTTTGCTGGAGGGGACACTGAACAAGCTCCCATACAAGTTGCCCTCCAGTAGCCGTTCCCTGTCCTTGAGACTAGTGCTACGGGAGGGCCTGCTGAGGTCTAGCTCCCTGGGTTTGTCGAGGATGTTATCGTAGGAATGTTGGTGGTTAATCTTTAGCTTGTTCTTTTGGAACTGGAGGGCGTTGTTCTGTGCCCAGACCTCCTCCTGGGAGGCTGGATTACCTGTCTCCTGAAGCATCTGGTCTTCATCGATGTCATAGAGGTTCCCCATCCGTAGGCAGGCGTCACACTTGAAGGGGGACCTCATGGTGAAATGGCCCGAATAGGTGGGCAGGTTGGAAAGGCAGCTCCTGCAGTGCGTGGAGTTCTGCCGGTAACGGTCGCTGCCCTCACTGTGGGGGGACCCCTTGTCTTTCAAGGTGAAGTGCTTGGGATAGAGCTTATACTGGTCATTGTTAGGAAGCCCATCTTCATTATGCAGGGGGTTTCTGTTCACAGGCAGTGTGGAGTCCCCCTTGCGGAAGTCTTCACTGTGGTCCTGGTAGGTATCTGGGAAGCCCACGTTCTCAGGAAGGGCTAAGTTCTCAACAAACTGCGGAGGATCTAAATGGAAACTGGGCTCCTTCTCACCAGCGATGGTGTAGATCTTGTCCCTGGGGGAGCTGGCTTTGGTTTTCAGGTAGGTCCGTTCGACCTCACTACAGTCCTTGGGGTGTTTGGAAGTCACTGACCTTTTGAAGTTGTCCTTGGTTTTGTGGCTCTTATTGTTGTCTGGTTCCCTGTGGCATGTGGCCCGACTTGATGTTTCTGAAATATCAGAGTGGGCCACCTCTTCTGGAAGGTACCTGGGGCTCTTTAGGGAGTGGGTCCTATTCTCCACTGTCACCTCATCCCTTTGGGAGGGTGGATTCTGGCTCAGAGAATCCTGGCGTAGAGACTCCATGGATTTCTTCCAAAGTTGCCGGGGTCTGGAGTTCCCTTTGGCTTCTGTGCTGACGGCCACTTCCACCGTGTTGGGGTTTGACTCATTGAGTGTAAGGGGGTGCTGTCCTTGGAACACATAGTTATTGAGATTATCCTTATGCCTGTTGGCCACAAATGTTTGGAGTTCATTCATGTTGTCCCCAAAAATGCTGTCCTTCCCCTGGAAGGATCTGTTGTCTGAATATATCAGTTCCCCTTGTCAGAGACCATGTCCGTGATGAGGGAACCTCTTTGGATGAAGTCAGCAGCTCTTTTGGGTGAGTCCATTCTTGAGACGTTGGACATGTTGGAAATGTTTTTGGCTGACCTAAGGAGCTTTAACATGTTACTCTGGGATCCTGTCAGATTGAAGTCTGGAGACTTCTTGTTCTCTTCAATGTGGACCCCGTGGATGCAGCTGTAGATACCCTGTGAGGAAGTGACACAAACACCCATCAGCATCAGCCATCGATGTCAAACCGTTGCTCACCTGACCTTACCTGCAAGGTGACACGTGGACTTCTTGTAGCGTCCTAGAGAAATCGTGAAACTCACTCCGAATGCTGAAAGCCTTCCTCCAGTGCACGAGGCACATCGCAGGCATCAGGCTCATCTTACTGCCCTGGCTCAGGGTCACCTGACACATTTTCAGAGTCACACACGGAATGTGAGAAATGGTGTTAACTGATGCTCATCCAACTGTAAATGTCTCTGTGCTTCCAGCCTAGCATATAAGAATGTTTGGTCCTCCCAACACCCAGATCACCAAATCAGGCTTTTATTAATGGTCCTCTGAATCATCTTTGGAGTTTGGACATCAGAGAGTTAGCTATTGACAAGCAGACTCAGCAAAAAAGGACCAGCAACTCTTCTCAGGAATTACTCCTACTGTGTGCTGAAGGTATCAGTGAGGACATGTAAGCCAAGCAGGCCAGCCAGAAAATCTTTCCTTCCTGGATAACACCGATTAGTCTAAGGGAAGGCATGAAATCCATGGGCGGGCAATCAGACCTATTTATTTGTTATTTACTAGGGTTTGAACTCAGGACTTCACGCTTGCTAGGCATGTGCTCTACCACTTAAGCCATGCCCCACAGCCCTTTTTACTTTGGTTATTTCCGAGATGGGGTCTCACTTTTTGCCCATGCTGGCCTGCACCATGATCCTCCTATTTACACTTCCCACATAGATAGAATAACAGGTGTGAACCACTACGCCCACCTTTTACTGATTGAGATGGGGGTCTCACAAACTTTTGGCCAAGGCTGGTCTCAAACCCCAGTCCTTCCCATCTCTGCCTTCTAAGTAACTAGGATTACCGGTGTGAGTCACTAAGCCTGGTTGCAATCAAGCTTTTTATGGAGGGATAGTTACAGATGCTCAGAAAGGGGACTAGAGTCCTATGTTCACAGGGACTAGTCTTGCTAGTTACATAGGGAGATTAGCCTGACAAATGCCAGGTTCAAGGGAAAGAAAGAGACATGCATGATCTGAACCCCTGGAGTGATCCTCTTGAACTTTTTACTTAATCTACTCAGTATAGTTTTGTGCTTGTGTGTTTGTCTGTCCAATGCAGTTACAATGCAGTAAGAAATTTCTAATAGTGATGAAGAGTTCCCTGGGAACTGAAGGACATAAAGAAATCCTGGGGAGCTGAAATATGACCACCCCATCTCTAGGTTTCCTTGTTTCCCATGCCTTCCTCTTTTTTGGAGTTTCTTTTTTTCTTTTTATTATTTTATTGTTTTTGCATTTACTTACAATATTTGGGCCACCTTTCTTCTCTACACCCTCCCCCAAAACACTTGGCTTGCCCTTAAAAGTAATTGTTGAACTGTTATCAAGGGAAGCTCTTGATTCATGCCACACAAACAGGCAAAAGAACATCAATTACATTTGGATTTCTGGCCCCTACCCTCGATTTTGGTAGCCAAGCCTAAAGGAAGCAATTGAATCAATGCTACAGGATTTGACCCGGTCCTCCCAAGACTGCCAGGGGCCAATCCAAGAAGGGATTTAGAAGGCAGATTAGGCAGCTGTTGCTGACTTTTGCATGAGCTATGGGGGAAATATGTGTGATTAACTATGAACTATGGATAATGGTGGTGGCTCCATTGGTCTCCCATGGTGGGGACGAGCTTAACCTGCAGAGATGCTCATGGAACTCTGACAGCCTCAAGTCATTTGAATGGCTGCATTTTTTTGGCAGTTTCTAAAGAACCTCCATTCCAGGTTTCTTGGAATGGTAAAGAGAAAAGCTGACAATTGCCAGTCTGAGCAGTCCTTTCTCAGGTCCTCTCAACCCAGGCTTCATGGTTAAGGTTCTCCAAGGCCTGTGGAGCTGGCATGGTGCCCGTTCCTTTCTTCCTTCCTGCAGCCTTATCTTCACTCTCCTTCTCTGTGGCCTGGGTGGTTGGCTGTTTATCCTGCCACAAACCTATAGTCTCCTCCTGTTGCTTCCAGGGTCTGCTGGAGCATCAGGACTGTGGATGAGGAAATCATACAAGTGCCCTGGTGCATTAACCTTGCTCTCCTCACCCAATTTAGTAATATCGCAGTCCTGTATGCTGACCTACAGAGATTCTGCTGCTATGGGTAAAACTCAGTGTACTTCCTGTAGATCATAATTGGCTAAGGTCTATGCCTTCTCTTCTTGGGATAGGATTAGGAAAAAAGTGGTCATGATATTTTCAATTTTTCTTTCTCAATTTGTAATTTTATCCCAACGAGCTCCTCTCCTCCCATGTTGTAGGAGACAGGAGGAAGTGTGCTGCCTGCTTTCTCCCATCCCTGGTTTCCCCGAGGCTGGGACAACATAGCTAAAGCAGTTCTCAAGTGTTGATCAGCCTGGTGAGGCCACAGAGAGAAGCAAAGTGACAGACCCAGCCTAGCCCCATGTTTTGCTGATCGTATCCTCCATTTGACTCGATCCTTCTTCCAGATGGACTGCCGAGTGCATGTTCCAGAATAACAGGAGGAGTCGAGGACTTGGAGCACAGTGGGTTTAAGTCCCAGCTCCATAATTTCTCAGCTCTGTAGCCTTGGAAAAGCCACTCCATTTATGTAAGCCTCAATTTTCCCCATCTGTGAAATGGGAGTCCTGTCCTCCTCAGCTGGGTACAAAGGCAAGATAAAATGATGCACAGTTGGTGCTCAATAAATGCAGGCTGGAAGAGGTGTCCAGTCACCTCTGGTCTGCCCTTACCTCTTTCTCTTTTTGCACTGACTTAAGCACATCTGTCACAGCTGTGAGACATGCATGCACACTGCTCTTTCATTCTGAAGGTTTGTTCTGGAAAGCCACTTGGGCTTTAGACGAGCAGCACAAGCCCTACCAAGAGAGCCCAATAAATCCCAAATGAAAATGTCTTTCTTCCCTGAAGTTCTCTCTTTTCTATTGTCTACCATTCATAGATTCTGGCTACTTTTTAAGGTTCGTGGAAATGAGAGGCCCCCTTGGTACCACAGTGGGCTCAGTCAGATAAAATTACTGTTGACAACTCAATGTCTTCTTCTGAACAATTTGCTCTGCTTCTGCAAAGGGTGCCTGGCCCCTCAGAACATGTTTTGGTGGGGGCAAGGGCCTACTGTCCTGCTTGTTCCTTTCCACCCTGACCCCTAGGGTGTCTGTCTTCTGTTGGTCCTGATTGTGGGTTCACCAGAAGCATCTTCCACCCAGCCTCTGAACCCCTCTTGTCAGAGTTTGCTGGGAGACTAGCCACAGTTCCCATCTCTCTGGCTTCTTTCTGGCTTTGCTATGTCTCCCGTCTGTCACATTTCAGGAGATAACCAAGGTGGTACATTTGGTGGTGACAGTGAGCATTTTTTTTTCTTAAATGGGAGGGAAAACATTTATATAGATGACAAAGGCCACAGCTGTGGGAGAAGGTTGGTTTCTATGTTAAATAAAGGTCTTCTTGGAGCTCTAGCCATCAGGCCGGTCCATGTACCCCAGGTACATGGGGTCTTCCCTTCCCAGGAACACTGAGCCCACAAGGAGGGCTGTGCATGCCTGCTGCATGGTGGCAGCTGTAAGTCTATTGACTGGACGCTCAACATGCTGGAAGGAGGGGCAGTGATGGAGGTCCAGCCTCTGTGCAGAACGCCCTTGCTTTAGGGGAGACGTAAACTTCAGAACATCATGAACCAGCACCCTTAGAAAGAAACCTAAGCCCTGAAGTGTACTAACGCATGTGAACTAGCCCTGTGTGAACAGAACGTTTTCTGGGCTGATGGATGAACTGAGAAGCTGTCATTTTGAGGAAACAGAAGGTAAAGCCAAGGAGGTCCAGGTCTAACATTTTTCCCTTTGTCTCCCTATCCAGAGAATGGGTTGATCACATCAACCTCACAGAGCATTGTGGGACTAGAGACTGCAGAGGAAGCATACACGGCCCAGGCCCTTACCCACACTCTAGGCACAACTCACTGCCCCTGAGAATTCCCCTATGCAGGTTTGGTGAAAGCAATGAATCCCACTGTTTCTGTGTGAGCCCTCTGTACTGAGGGAGCGGTATTGGTGAGATGGTATATGTGTGAATGTGCATAGAAGGCAAACTTTACAGGCAGTGGGAGCACTTCACCAGAAAGGACATTTCTTTTGGCAACCCAGATGTGTACTGCATCAAGGGCTGAGCCTGTTCTGAGTTCTAATAAATGAAAGAGGCAGGAAGGTATCATTGAGTCCTTCCAGCTGGGCATGGTGGCACACATCTGCAATCCCAGCACTCTGTAGGCAGAGGCAGGAGGATTGGGAGTTCAAGGCCAGCCTGTGTTACATATCAAGATGACAGAGAGGGAGAGATGGAGAGGGAGAGGGAGACAGAGAAGGAGAGGGAGAGGGAGAGAGTCCTATTGCTACGTATCAGGCCACACTTACTTTCCTAGAGAAATATTGTTTGGAGAGGAGGGAGCCAGTGCTCCCTGCAGCTTCTATAATGTGAAGCTACTATTCAGTGATGGTGGCTGGGAGCTCCAAGGGGCACAGAAATCCCTACATTGCTCCCCTAGGACTTAGAGCGCTCTCTCCCTTAAGGAGGGGGAAGCCGAGGTTCAACCCCCAGCCTCTCAGCAACAACCCCAGCAAAACCTGTTACTGCACTGCCTGGTCCCCCTCCATCCTCTTCCCTCAAGGTGCATGGAAAGGGGTGAGAGAAGGGTTTACCTCATTGCTCACACAATCATCTACAACTGGGCTTCCTCTTCCAAAACCAAGCAGGGTTTACAAGTAAATGCACAATATTCATTTGCTCAAGATAATCCAGGAATCATTTGGATATGAAAAGCCTTTAGTAATTGGCTGCGAGAATTAGTTTGAAGTTGGCAAAGTACCTAGCTATATGCATGCACGTCGTTATTTTTAAGCAATCTGTGTGTTTGGATGTCATCAAGCTAATTAGGAAATATGTATTTGCACAGAACCAAGTTTGGAGTGCAATTGAATGGAGAAAATAAATCCTCCTTGCTAAGCTAATGTGTACCTTCTGAATCTCCAAAGTTCTTAAATTACCAAGTGCTAAGAATACACAAATTTATTTAAAAGTGATTATTTAGATTTTTCCAATAAACATTAGCATGTAAAACTAGATGTTTTTAACCAAATAGTTTCACCATGTTTTCAGTCCTAACTCATTAAGCTCTTCCAGGGTGAAAAAAGCCACCAAGTTGGGCAAATGGAGGAAACGGATGGATGGACAGATAGATAGATGAGTAGATACATGGGTAGATAGACAAATAGACAGACAGACAGATAAATAGACAGACAGACAGATAATAGGTAGGTAGCTAGTTGGCTGGGTGGATAGGTATATAGGCAGAAGATAGGTAGAAAATAGACAGGCAGGTAGATAATAGTAGATGATAAGAAAGGAAGAAAGAGGGAAGGAAGGGAGGGAGGGAAAGGGAAGGAGAGAAAGGGGAGGAGGGAAGAAAAGGGGAAGAGGGTGGGGGAGGGAGGGAGGAAAGAAAGATTGATTTATTGTAAGTAGATAGATGGATAGGTAAATATAGATAGGTTAGAAGTAGCTACCTAGCTAGAAAGACAGACAGATGGTAGATAGATAATAGGTGGATAGATTTCAGGTAGATAGATAAGACAGATGATCAATAGATGATAGGTGGATAGAGGCAGATAATATGTGGGTAGATAGATTATAGGTAGATAGCTAGATAGACAGATGGGCGACACATAGATAGATGGACGTGTTAATGATACGCACACATGTGCTTTTATTACAACACAGGTGACGTGATCAGATCATGCTCCACGTGTGAACGGAGGAGGGGACTGTGTGCACGTGTGCATTGGTAGTATGAACTGTATCAAATCTCCTTTGTTCCTTGTATTTGTTGGGTTTTTACTTTGAGTAGAGACTTTGGCTGGTGCCACACCATATGGATTCATCTCTCGTCTCCACCTTACTGGCCATGTAGCTTATGTAATTCCCTTAACCTCAAACTTTGGATTTTGCCACTTGCAATCTGGGACTGCCAACAGTATCTAGCTCGTAGATGGTTTGCGGATGGAATGAGATGAAGAATTTAAGGTCCTTACGCCTGGTATGGCGCATATCAGTGTTCCATAAATACAGTTTCCTGACCATTACGGTTATTGGTGATTATGTCACATGCACATTGATGGCAACACGCACACCATATCTTGCTGCGTGAAAGGCTTTCCCGTACTGCATGTGAGCTGCAGGTAGCATGTGTATTCTGGGCTGTCATTTATGCTGAATGGAGCTTGTATTTGGTTTTCTATTTTATGTACATGCCTACCTTCTGGTACCTTTCATCTGTGTCTTGTTTCAGGCTCTGTTGCATATTACACACTTTTTGTGTCTTTGCATAGCATTGAATGGAGGTTCTCTGTAGTTGTGCATGTTCTGCTGGAATGCATGCGTCCATGGTAGCATCCTTCATAGGAGAGTCAGCAATATTGTAAGGCACATCTCGGCTCTAATGATGGCAGCCACATATGGAGGGTTTTTTGACTCACACTTTTTTGATGGGATTTGTTACTGGTTTTTCAGTGGAACTGGGAATTGTACTCAGGGCCTCACACTTGCTACCCAAGATGCTACAAGAGCAATGCCCCCGCTCTTTTGCTTATATTTTGATTTGCGATAACATCTTACTTGGCCTGGGCTGGCCTTGAACTTGAATTCCTCTTGCCCCCACCTCCTGAGTGCTGGGATTACAGCATGCACCACCATTCCAGGCTAGTTACTGTTATTTAACAGTGGAGTGCTTTCACATTCAATCAGATGACACATTCTGATTGAAAACTAGAATGCCTGGTAACATTGACTCTACATTGCCATTAGACAATACCTTAGCCGGAGTGGAGGATGGCTGTCTCCTTTAGGTGTAAGGAGTACGCAATTTGCAACAGTCTCCAACATTCCTTATTGTTCTGGCTTTTACAGTCTTCTGAGTTTGCAACCCCTGGCTTAGGAATGAACAAGGTCTGAATGCCCTACTGCCACACTCAAGAAGGGTGGATAAAGGAGGGGAGGATGTACAGACCCCAGAGGGAAGAGGCTGGTGCCTGACTCTCTGGCATCCCTGTGCTATTCTGGATCTGCCTGCTGCCCACGGAAGTACTCACCCTGCTGATGGAGAAGAGCAGCCCTGGGCGGTCAGAGCACACGCCAGTGAAGCAGAAGCGCAGCTTCCAGTAGAAGAGGTGTTCCCAGATGAAAGTGATCAGGCTCAGGGCCATGGCTGCCGCCAGCATATAGAACACGCCCGCCATGTTGTCGATGTCCAGCTGACTGCTCATCACCTCGTTCTTCTCGTTGTGACAGATCCCTGTGAGCCACAGAGTCTCCAACTCCTCCATCTCACCTACACAGAATACAACACCGCAGGCAGTGAGGACCATGTGTGTGACTTGGAGATGACACTTCTAGGTTTGGGGACAGATGTGTGTGACTTGCAATTGTGTCACCTTAAGGAGAACTGCAGAGTTTCATTGGTCTTTGGTGGCTTGCTTGCTGAGTGAAGAAAATAATGATAACAACACTTGCTTAATATTACAGTGAGGATGAAATTAGGTAACATACAGTATGGCAAATTTGGCACAAATTTGGGTGCAGCAAAGGTCTATACCTCATTGCGATGAAGGTAAACTGAAATTAGTATGTAGAAAATCTCTAGCATGCCTGCTTCATAGCGAGCTGTCATGAACAATAGCTTTAGCTACTGTTTATTCATGTGGAGGAGGGGTATACCATGTGCCTGGCACTTGATAACTTTCAAATTTATTAGTTTCTTCCCTCTCATCTCTTTAGAACACCCAGAATTACTGCAAAAAAGCCACCCACAAGCACCCAGGGCACAAAACTTTAATTGAAAAAAGACACCTTTGGATCTGAGTGTCCCCTTGAAAGCTAAACAACTTTTCACTTCATTAGGCAATTAAAGAAGCAGTTGGAGTTTCGATGTTAAAAAAAATCATATTTAGCATTATTTGGTCTCTCTTATAATGTACATTTTATCCAGTCATCACTTAGGAGGAAATTCTCTGAACTAAAAGTCCAGTTGCTATACAAACTACTTAGTTTGAACACCATTTAGACTACCATTCAGCCTTTAAAACTTATCTCTCAAGGATATTGATAATCAAAGAAAAGGTACATATGTCACATGAAAATATGACTACATCATGTGTATCCATATATGTGATCACGAAGTTGGAATAATAGACATTTAAAAAGATAAAGGAATACTTTATATGTTTTTATGGACTCTCCTTTGGGGAAGTTAATTAAAATGACTGATTTCATACCGGTCTCTCATGTGAAATTAGTGTGTATTGCTTTTAGTGTGTTCTCACTCTTGACTGATTTGAACATGGGGATTCTAAGTTGGCAATGATTTTTCTTTGGCCCTTTGAAGATGTTTTTAAATTTTCTTCTGACCTGGACTGCAGTGGTGAGAAGACAGCTGTTCCTATCATTGCTGTTACTTCCTATGCAATCTGTATTTTGAATATTAGTGCCCCCTGTAATCCTGTCTTTTTTCCCTCATTCATTCTTCCCATAGCTCTGCAAACCTTGGCAACTTTTAGCTACCTATCCAGTTGTGCTTTTCCAGAATGTCATACAGTATTTTCTGCTTGATTTCTTTCACTGAATAATATGCATTTACAGTTCCTTTATATCTTCTCCTGGATTGATAGCTAGTTCCTTTTTTATCACTGAATAATATTCCGTGGTTTGGATATACATTTTTTCATCCATTCACCTACTGAACATTTTGGTTGCATCCAAGTGTGGGCAATTATGAATAAAGTCATGAGAAGGGATTTTATGAGAAGGGATATTTTTTTTTGGTGGACAGCTTTCCAAGTCATTTGGTTACATACCTAGAAGTATTATCACTGGGTTTTATGGTAAGACATGTTTACTTACCTTTCCAGGAAACTGTCAAACTGACTTCTGAAGTAGCATTTTGCATTCCCTCAGCAACCAACAAGAGTTCCTGTTGCTCCATGTACTCACCAGCATGATTACTGTTGTCAGTTTTGGGGAGTTTTGTTTTTTAAACATTTTAATAAAGAAATAATGCTATCTGCTTGTTTTAATGAGCATTTCCCTAATGACCTGTGATAATTCTTTTTTTTCCTGAAATTTTTGTTTAACATATTGCAGGCTTTCTCATTCTATCCTCTGGTTTATGAACCTTGTTTTAATATTTATTTTGCATTCTTTGGTCTCTTTTGACTGCAGTTGTGTGATTTCCCTAGATTTATTTTCTAGTTCACTCATTTTTTTATTATGTTTTAATTTTAATCTATTTATTTTAGCTGTGACATTCATTTGGCTTTTTCACAGTTCTGCCTGCTCTCTTTTTTTAAAATTATGTCTCACTCCTTTATTATATTTTTTCAACTTTTATATGATTAATAATTTCAAACTTATAATCGTGCAGATTAATTCGTAGGCTTTGTGTTCTTCTGTTTGCTATGTTCTGAGTCATGGTGGATGACTTCCTTGTGGCATTTGTAACTTTCCGTCATAAGTGAATCCTTTCCAGAGCTGTTCTTCCCTTAAACACCGTGAGCACCCACCCCAAGAACACTGGGATCTAGAAATGTCCTTACAGACGTTTCTGGGTTTGCTTCTGCCATAGTTCCAGGGGTTTTCAGTGTACTGGTTTTTGTATGAAATTTTTTTAATGTGATTACCCCACCATTTAAATGAATATATTTGAATTCCCATATTCATTTGGATTTCAATTTCTCACTCAGAGCTTCAAACAGATGGCAAACCTCCTTGCATTTTGTTCACTCTGACGGACAGAGATTTTCCTAGTTCCCTTTTCACAGGCTAAGTGACTCATAGAGGGTCTCAGATTTGTTAATCAGGGAGGAAAAAAAGCATGAATATTTATGAGAGAACAAAACAGGAACTCAATCCCCTGACAAGTTCTTCACCCACAAAGAAGTGAGGATGCAGGCAGTGATGGAGAGTGGTATTTTAATTCAACTCCTTTTCTTCCCAGCAATCTCCAGTGCTCTCACACAGTCACAAAGTCATGAGATACTCCTATTATTTGTCTGCCCAACACTACCACAGACTCATCTAAATCCCTCTGCCCACCACATGCCAGGAGACTTGTATAATTGCAAAGTCACCAATGTCATCTATTTCTAAATACAATATGTTGTGGACACTCCCCTCCCTTTGGAAATATGAGGACACAAAAATGGGTCCTCTCCCCAGGATTCATCAAATTCCCAGCACATCTTTCCTTTGGTGTTGTCCCCAGAAAAGCCAGATTTGTAAGCTGAAACAATAGAAGTCTGGCTTACAGAAACATCACTTTGGTTCTTTTCGGGATGCAAATATAAAGATTTATCTTGTGTCCATTGCCCAAAACAACACCTCTCATCAGACTAAGCGGACTTGGTAAACCAGACCCAGGCTCCAAAAGGAGCATAAACTCACATTTCTCAATAGCAACTACAGTCTGCTCCAATCATTTTCTAGTTAATCATTTCCTGCCTTGTGGCCCTCTTTGACTAGTATACTGAACTGTGGTTCAGATACTTTCTTACTGTTTTTTAA